AAGCAAAATCAAGATAACAGAGTGTCCAGAACGATAAGATGCCATTACTGATATATTGAACTAGGATTATTCATAGACAGAGAAAATAGTAAATGACTGACGAGATCAGTGCAACCCAATATGAAAAGTAGAAGACCGTGAAGATCAGAGCCTTAATGGAACCAACATGAGCCTTGTTCTGGGGGGGGTCCTGGAAATTGGTAATTTCTCTTTGCATCCGTCTGGTGTGTCTCCACAGAGCAGTGATTAACAAGGTGGCTGAAACCATAAATATGAGGAAGGGAATGAATGGTTCCAGTAAATGCAAAATAATTACATAGAGGTGTGGTATGCTCAGTTCTCTGGTTTGCTGGAGATTAGTGAGAAAGTCATATTTGAGTCCCAAAGTGAACAATTCATACACACACTAATGGGACAGAAGTGCCTGAGGACACAAATAGGGAGCTCATGAGCTTTTTATTCTCTGCTTCAGCCAGAGGAAGAGGAGCTGGGAGAAAGCGGTGATCTTCACTCAACAGAAGACACCAGCCAGGTGGCAAACCAGAGACAGAGAGTTTAAAATGCAAGATTACAGTTCTCTGGAGAGTATAGGTAGGTGACGCTTTCCACCATAATTAAGAACTGGAAAAAAATTCTGGAGATGCCCAGACTTGCCAGAATCATATCACAGAAGATCAGTTTTTCTGCTTTTCAACCAGTCACTGCAAATCACAGATGTGATCAATCCATTCCCCATAATCCCCATGATTAACTCAATCACTAAAATGATCAGAGCAAGGATAGGAAACACAGCAGACATGTTTCAATTCACAGTCACCAAACTCCTGAATTCTCTTCCACAATTTCTAGGAGAAATTGCACAAGAGAACAGCGCTAACTACAGTGCAAATCTGCTGGTATTTGGTTGGCACATGCACTCACCTTCCGTCTTTGTGTATTAGTCCAGCAGTACAGCTGATGACAAAATTAGGGATATTTTCAGATGATTATAAAAGAGCCAGCTGTATTTAGGATGATGCAAATTTTAGGCAGATTCAATTACTGGTATTTCTTTCTGCTCACATATATTTCAATAGCTTCCTCTACAATGTATTAGTTTTATGAAACCGTGATGACTTTATCTTTGCTACTGCATGTTTGGATTCTGGAAATCAGACAGCTGAGTAGCAGATCAGAAAACTTGATCGATGAGGAGACAGTTGTCACTGACACTTTAGAAGTATTGAATGCAGCTTGCAACAAGGATCTCACAATATGCTCACAAAGGTCTTTGTTGCTGTTACTATTTTTTGGGTGTTTATGATTTCTTTTGTCTGTTCAATGTCATTTAGTTTAACTGAGTTGTATAAAAAAATTTGTTGAACATGGGGAGAAGACAGAAGGAGAATTTTTGGTAGTTGAAATGGGACAAGTTAGTAAAGAAGCAGGGAAACAAGATGTGTCTGACTGAAAGAAAAAGAGAAGGGTAAGACTCTTACCCTTTTCCTATCCTCATTAAAGAAGAGGAATTGTTTGAAGTTTATTTACAAGGACTACAGCAGTACTTGATGCATTCCAGGGTCAGAAAGAGGTCTCACCTGCCACTACTGGTGAATTGAGGGAAAAGACCTCAGAAGCAAACGATGTTGGTATAGACAGACATGCGTTTCCAATCTGATCAGTTTTGGCTTAGTATTGAACTCAGTGCTAAACAACTATTGTATGACTAAATAGCAGCAAAACTGTACTTAGCATGCACCACTGAGCCTTGAACCTCACTTACTATACGGGGTAGTGCTGCCAAATCAAGGAAGAAGTTAAAAGGGGTGCAACAGGGAAGCCTTTGTTTAAAATAGTTTTATATGATTTGACTCTCCCACTCCACTGTTTAAGGAGAGAACTGATCAGACTCCAGTTCTTACTTCTGCTCAATGATCACTAGAGCAGCATGATGAGCAGATATAGTGCAAGTACACTGTTACAGTGAAAACTTCCATGATAAAGAGATTGTACTACAGTACTTGTATATGGTGAATTGAAAAATATTATTTCTTTTGTTTCTTTTTTTACAGTGTAAATATTTGTAATAAAAATAAATACAAAGTGAGCACTGTCCACTTTGTTTTGTGTTGTAACTGAAATAAATATACTTGAAAATGTACAAAACATCAAAATATATTTAAATTAATGGTATTTTATTATGGTTTAACAGTGCGATTAATATTTTTAATTGCATGATTAATTGTGATTAATTTTTTAATCATTGCCATCCATATTATTTATTATTTATACTGCAGTATCACCTACTGATCCCAGTCATAGTCCATTGCGGCAGGCACTATATAGAACACAGCAAAAAGACAGTCCCTGCTCCGAGAAGTTTATAGTCTCAGTATAAAATAAGAGTAAACAGATGCAGACAAGGGAAGCACAAGGAAACAGTAAGAACTGTGTAAGATTTGGATTCAGCAGCTTCCATGGAGCTGCTTGACATCTGCTTCATGCCTTGTTTTGTCTGCTCAGTGTCCAGCTCAGCTACATGGTACAGGGCGTAATCCCCTTTTCTTTTCCTTTTATTGGGTAACCAGGTGAGACTGGGACGATCTTTATTTTTGTGCACTGTATAGCACCGAGGCTGCTGTCCGTGCTATGTAAATAGGAAATAGCAAAAAACGGGATTGTTTAAAGAGAATATGAAAGGCCATCTTCTGTTACAAATGCATCCAATGTGTTAGCTTCCTTATACACACATTTTCTCCTCTTTCTGTTTGAAAGCTAAGCATTATGCTCAGATCTAATTGGACTGATATTATACCAAATAGCTCTTACTTTTGTGAAATAATAATTAATCCAATAGCCTAGCTATGAAAACAATGAATTAGTGAGTGAGTCATTTGAGACAAGTCTATCTGATATCTGAAATTAGTGAAACAATTGTATTTGCTGTGACTTCATTGTCACAGCAAATAAGTCAGGCTCAGTTCCTGAGAGGACTTCCCTCTTATCCCATGATGGCTTACTTTTCAAAAGTCAATTTAAATTACATACATTTTTTTAAAAAAAATTATATATTTTTTAGAAATCTAGACCTGTTATGTGTTTTGGTGTAACTTGCATTATCCTTATGTTAAATTTGCATTATCCTAACAAAACATTTACTTTATTCATATCTCTTTTGTATGTTGCAGGTCACAGTGAAAATGAAAAGACAAAAAACGATACAATTTTTCCACTCAAAGGCCTCAAAAACTAACCAAGGTGAAGAACACATCAAGAACCAAGAATATATCAACATGTCAACTGAAGGTTCAAGTGGTGTATCTACAGCCGACCAGCCCGAAGCACAAATACAGCTACCTATTGAAGAAACAGTGTCTCCAAAACCTAAAGGCATTTCCCGATGTTTGTCGGTCAAAGTGTTCCCATTTATTGAAGTTACAAAAGATGGCTACTGGTGCACCTCTTGCAAGAAAGCTTGCGAAGAAGGAAAGCTTCCCAATGCTATAACTGGTAAAAGTGGAGGAGCTTGGTTTGTCAAAACGATCAGCAAAGCCAATGCTGACAAACTACGTGAAAAGGCTGCAAAACACCAGGCCTCTGGAGTGCATCAACGTGCAGAAAGCTCACTATCTTTCTGCAGAAACTCAACTGACTGGCTAGAAGCATGTGGTGCAAAAGACTTAACAGTTGAAAAAGTGAAGAAACTCTCTCACCACATTCAAAAAATTTGCATACATGGCTAATGAATGCACCGATACAAATGGGCATCAAGTATTAAGTCATTGTGTCTTTTATCTTGATGTCAGTGGTAGAAGCTACTTTTGGATCAGTCAGAGAGCTATCCATTGAAAAAGTACTGGAAGAAGCAAAGACTTCAGTCCAGAAGTTGACTAATGAAGGCATTTATATTCAATCCTTAAGTGAAGAAGACAAGAAGTGTTTGTTAAGACAACTGAAAAAGTACATAGTCTTGATTCTTAAAAATCTACAACAGCGATTTCTAGATTCTACTCAACCTCTATGTAGCTTTTACAGATGCCTGTCCTATAAAACACTTGACAGTTGAGTGGAGTGAGGCACTACCAGCAATGGGACTGCCATGTGATCAGGACAGAATAGAGAATTTGAACATAGAGTGGAATATCATGCGACGAATGAATGAAGATTTGACTTCAACTAGTGGCTCGACCTGATCTTTGTGTTCCGTGTCCTGGGCTGAAAGAAGTAGGAGTTCATCTCTTGCTACTCCCAGTCACAACAGCTACAGCTGAGCTTTCTTTTTCATCACTGAACAGAATTTTGTGTTCTGAAAGAAGTCGCCTTCTGCCTGATAATATGAATGAACTAATGAGCATATCAGTTGAAGGAATGGAAGTACTGGACACATGAGAAGCCACCAAAGATGAATGCAATGCATTCAAGAAGTTCATTAACAGAGTTGTACAAAATTGTAACACGAAACCAAGAAGGATGTAGATAGAGGTAGTGCTTCTTAGAAGGCTTGAGTAGCCAACTTTAATTTTGTGTTAAATCTCATAAAATGATCATGAAACATTTTTCAGTTTTTCCTATGGTGCCGTACCGCCCGCCCACCTTCACCCTCACAGCCTCACCCCTCATCGGCCCTGACACCCCCCATTGGCCCTGACACCCCCCACCTGTAAATTCGAACACCCCCCTCCCATTTCAATTCCTGGGGAAACCACTGCCGGCACCCCACCCTCTGCCCTCCCGCACTCCGAACCCCTCAGCCCCACCGCGTGTGGCTCTCACATTGAAGGGGTTTTGCCAAAGTGGCCCCCACTTCAAAACCTGCCCGGGACCACAGGCGAGTAGAAGGCCCCAGCAGCCCTGGGACCAAGTCTCTGCGCTGAGGCGCGCAGGGCCGGCGGCAAAGGGAACCGCTTCAGGGCCCGGGGAGAGCGGCCAGCAGGGGTCAGCAGCGTCCTGCCGCAGCGCGGCGGGGTGAGTGTCACGCCCTGTGCTCGCGGCCCAATAAGCGCCCCCCGGCCAGAGGCCGCCACGGGGCTGGAGGGATCGCAGCCGGCTGAGCGGCGCCCCTGGGGAGCGGGGTAATGGCGGCGGCGGCGGCGGCAGTAGCAGGGGGAGGCTTTGGCGGCAGCAAGAAAGTGGTGGAAATCTTCTACGACGTGGTGTCTCCGTATTCCTGGCTCGGGTTCGAGGTGCGGGGGGAGCCGAATGCGGGGACAGACAGACCGAGAACCGCAGGGGGAGAGGGACGAGGGCAGCGGGGGCGGGGAAGAATAGACTTTAGGCCTGTGGAAGTCCTAGGAAATCCCCGGTGTTTCCTGAGTCTCCGAGCCCCAAGGTGCTTCCCCTCCGTGTCATTGCGGAATTTTCCCTGGCTGGCAGCAGGCCTGGTCCGGACCTTGCTGGAGAAATGGGAGATCATTTCTCCCCCACCCCTGCGCTTCTCTCCAGGAGAAGTGTGTGTGTAGTAAGAATAGTTTGCAAGGTCACAGCTCCCCTTTGTTGACAGGTTTCAGAGTAACAGCCGTGTTAGTCTGTATTTGCAAAAAGAAAAGGAGTACTCGTGGCACCTTAGAGACTAACCAATTTATTTGAGCATGAGCTTTCGTGAGCTACAGCTCACTCCACGGTATGCATCCGATGAAGTGAGCTGTAGCTCACGAAAGCTCATGCTCAAATAAATTGGTTAGTCTCTAAGGTGCCAGGAGTACTCCTTTTCTTTTAGCTCCCCTCTGTGTGTACTTACAGCTGGTTTGTTGGCCAGCTCTGGCTTACTTGGTTTCCTACAGGATTCCAGCTCTTGTTTTCTTTACAGAGGTGTGTTTGTGAAGTGAGCTGTAGCTCACGAAAGCTTATGCTCAGATAAATTGGTTAGTCTCTAAGGTGCCACAAGTCCTCCTTTTCTTCACGCTGACTGCGTTGCCTTGCCTGGAACAACCGAAGTTAGTACAACTGGATAAAAGCCAGCGAGGAGTGCTGACTGTTCACGGGAGAAAGTTACTCATTATACTTCAGAGAAGATTAATGTTCTACAGTTATTACTGGAGCACAGGTTATGAGCCTGATCTTAATCTTAATTACACAGGGTCTTTGGACTAAATTGAGCCCCATGGAAACTCAGTGAAATCAAAACCGTTTCAGGAACATCAGGAACCTACTGCACCTTATGCCTAAAGCTTAGCTGGAAAATGCTGCTATTTTTTTTAATTTGCAATAATTTTCATTCCACACATTTGGAAGAGGAACCAGGTTTTGGGAGGGGTTGTTTTTGTTTTATTTGTAGTTGGTTGAAAATGTTGTAAACAAACTTTTTAGTTTGCAGTTTCCCCCATTTCTCTCAACTATTTCCTGTTTCCATTTTGGCTAATGAAAGTGGGAGGAAGAGAAAGGGGCAAGGAAACAAATTTTAACAACAGAGCCAAAAAATTTTCACTTTTGTCAAAAATTGAAAATTGCAACAAAAAAAATTGCAGTAACTTTCATTTTTTTTAAAATGGCCTTTGTCAATGTTTAGAATGAGAAATTTCAACCCACTCTATTTGTACAAGACTTACAAGGGTGACTTTAGGGATACACACATTGACATCATACCTGCCTAACCTCTGGTTTTTCAGGGATTTCTCAAGCCCAGTGGTGGTGTTTCCAAAATCTCAGGATATTTTTTTTTTCTTTAGTGATGCTTTGGGTGGCATGTATGTTGCTACCATGAAAATGACATTAAAATCAAGGCAAAATTAAGGCAATCTGAGGCTAATAGTTGTATCTCAAGCAATAGATAGTGGGTTCAGTCTCCACTGCCAGTGACACACCTGGGGCATCACATTACACACTCTTTAAAATGAAAATTGAGATTCTCATTTTATCACATGACTCCATAGCTGGGTCCTATAGCATCTATATCATCATCTGGTCCTGGATTAAATAGATTAGAGCAGCAATAAACAGAGTTGTTCTGTGAGACAGGCCCAGAGGAAATAGATCTAATTTATACTCATGAAGTGCTTAAAGAAAGGGGAGCTGCTGTTATTTTCCTGATTTAAAAGAGAGAAATGAATCTGCTGTGTTATTTCTTCTTCCTGCTCCAGAGAGAAACCTGGGTGCAGTGGTGCATTTATCTCCATGGCTATCATTGGAGTGCATTTCACAGGGGTTTAGGGCTGCTTGATATTTTAATTCCTGGTCCCTCTGTAGGAATTTACAAACCTTCCCCACAGTATCACTGGCATGAAGATCTGAAGTGCCTTGCTGATCCCAAGGTTGATTTCTAATGGTCTCAGACAGATTAGGCTTTATCTGCTAGATGTATTTCAGTGCCCAGATCCTGGCTTCTGTCAGAGACTGGGCCCCTGGGCTTCATTGCAGGTCTTAGATGTTGTTTATCCATTATTATTTGTCCCATTGCAGGTGCTTTGCCGGTACCGGCACAACTGGAGCATTGAGTTGCGTTTTCGTCCTGCTTTCCTTGGAGGCATAATGAAGGAGACTGGTAGGTGTTCGACTGCTCCTGACCCTCAACAGAGAACATCTGGAACCTCCTGCAGAGTGTGGCTATGAGAGAGTGGAGATTCCATCTTGCACTCGAGCTCTGGCAGGGCACTGCTGTTAGGGAGCTCACCACAGACCCCAAAATGAATTCTATGGGGAATATCACAGACCACTGAGACTCCCTGCTGTCATTAGCCAGGCATTGCTGAAGCCCTTCCATTCTACTTGGAGGTCTAAGGCTTTGTCTACACTAGCACTTTTGTTGGTCAGGAAACATCCCCTCCTCCCTCTTCCCCCCCCCCCCAACTGACAAAAGTTTCACCAGCAAAAGCTGCAAAAGCATAGCTACTGCTGCTCGATAGATTGAATTATGCTAGCAGGAGGGCTCTGTCATGAGTTCTGTTTCTGGCTCTGTTGGAGATTTGATTTGCCTGAAATCGCAAAGCACTTCATCTTGCTGTCCCTCAGTTTCTCACTTTTAAAATAGGATAATGATCCTCATCCTCCTTAGTAAAGTGTTTTATGATGAACAGCACTTTACTGTACCCAAAAGTTTATTTATCTTTTAAAAACTGATTTAGCTGGTGCAAACTCCTTTGTGGACATTCTTATTGGTTTAAAACTGGTTATGTCAGTTTAGCACCTGCAAATTTACTGATGCAAGTGAAACTGAAGTAAGCCAGGTTTAAACTCATATAAGAGTGTACTCACACAAAGTTGCAACTGTTTTACTAAATCAATATAAAATTACACTTTTCGTTAGACTAGTTTAAACTTGTGTGTAGACCTGGCTTACCTCATTATAACTGGAATCTTCATTTTGTAATTCCACCTTTTCTGTAAGGTAACCAGCCCCCAGCGATGGTGCCCAAACGTGGGGAATACATGAAGAAGGATATAGAGAGGATGGCAAAATATTACCAGGTCCCACTGCAGCTCCCCAAGGATTTCTTTGGAAGTGTTATCAGAAAAGGTAAGTAGAGGAGGCTGCTTGGTCAGTGAGTTGACCTTTCACCTTAAGGAGCTCTGGGTCCAAATCTTACATGACATTGAAGGGGGGAAAATGAGATTAAATGTTCTCTTCTTCTTCCCCCATTTGTGATTTGTATGAAGTCAGTGCATAGCTTCGCATGAGTGGAAATTCCTACTCGGGAAAGGGCTGAGAGTGGGATAGCATAAGAGTTTCTGCAGATTGTGACTAAGGTGCTTTGGCAGAGCTGGGAGGGGGAACAGCTCAGGGTAGGAGGCAAGCCCACAAGCTCTGACACGGTAATATTTTTTTTCATCACTGAATTACATGAGGCACAGATCTGTGTTTAAAAATAGCAAATAGTTTTGCAAATAAAAGCAGTAAGTTCAGATCAGTCCTATTCACAGGGTCATGTTACTTGTGACTGTTCAGATGACTGCCAGAAATTCATGACAATATTCACAAATGCTGAAAATCTAAAATATTAGCACAAAAATTATTTGGTCAAAAATTCATACAGGAAAGTGTGTTCTTTGTTATTTACAGGGTGGATTTGATTTAAATCACTAGTCAGGAAGGCTCGATTATATAGAAATCAAGATTAAAAAGTGCATTCTTGTTGGTTGTTATAACCTAAATACATATTCTTCGCAACTCAGATAGATGTAGGTTTCATTTTTAGAAGGTACACACTATACATTTTTTAAGTGATTTATTTTGAAAACTTTTCAGATTAGTTTTACAGCTATATCAGAAAATGAATGATTGTTTGGTTATTTCATTTACCAAAGATAATTGAAGCACTTCACCTCCCAATGACTTCATAAATATCTCCAATTTAATGGTTAATCATTAATATTTGGAGGATTTTCTTGCCATACTGTATTAGGAGAACAGGTTTTCTCCTAATCACCAGACAGGCATTTAAATTGTTTTGTTTAACTAAAACAACAATGTTATGTGTTCTGGGTTTTTTCTTCAACAGCACACATATAATATTTTAACAAAACAAACATATGAATTTTTGAATTTAGTTAGGTTTCAGAGGAACAGCCGTGTTAGTCTGTATTCGCAAAAAGAAAAGGAGTACTTGTGGCACCTTAGAGACTAACCAATTTATTTGAGCATGAGCTTTCGTGAGCTACAGCTCACTTCATCAGATGTTTACCGTGGAAACTGCAGCAGACTTTATATACACACAGAGAATATGAAACAATACCTCCTCCCACCCCACTGTCCTGCTGGTAATAGCTTATCTAAAGTGATCAACAGGTGGGCCATTTCTAGCACAAATCCAGGTTTTCTCACCCTCCACCCCCCACACAAATTCACTCTCCTGCTGGTGGAGAGTGAATTTGTGTGGGGGGTGGAGGGTGAGAAAACCTGGATTTGTGCTAGAAATGGCCCACCTGTTGATCGCTTTAGATAAGCTATTACCAGCAGGACAGTGGGGTGGGAGGAGGTATTGTTTCATATTCTCTGTGTGTATATAAAGTCTGCTGCAGTTTCCACGGTAAACATCTGATGAAGTGAGCTGTAGCTCACGAAAGCTCATGCTCAAATAAATTGGTTAGTCTCTAAGGTGCCACAAGTACTCCTTTTCTTTTTGTGAATTTAGTTAAACATTCAAGATCTTTAAAATCAGGTTTGTTTTTGTTAAAATGGTTTCTAACTAAAATAGTTAAATGAAATATTTAAAAAACCAAAAATTAAATCGACTGTCAGCCAGGTCAACATGAGAAGCTTAAAATATTGGCTTCTGCAGCTAACTTAGTCGTCTTCACCTTCATTTTCCTGTTTGTTCATAATCTGTAAAAGAAAAACAAGCTTTCCTGCTTTTTCAGGTCCCAAATGATTTCTCAGTTTGGAATGAATTAGTCCAAAGTAAGAAAATATTCTTTCTACACCGGCAGAAGAAGCTACTGCTGTTAAAAATGAGATTATCACTTCAACAGTCTCTGAATCCAAGTGCTTAAGTGACTTCTACCAGCTCACTGGCGTGACTTTCTTTAAAACATCATCAGCAAAAATATTTCTTGAATGGTTTCACCCTTAGCTCTGAAGTTTATTATAGTTGGCATTCTGGAGGGATGATTGCTGGATGGCCATGTCATAGCCAACTCCTCTTCTTCAGCAGTTAAGGTTTGACCCGGTACCGAGTATTGAGAATATTCCCAAGAAAATGAGCTGGGGATAGTGCTTGTCCCATTTGTTTTTTAATGCTTGTAATCATAGAATCATAGAATATCAGGGTTGGAAGGGACCTCAGGAGGTCATCTAGTACAACCCCCTACTCAAAGCAGGACCAATCCCCAACTAAATCATCCCAGCCAGGGCTTTGTCAAGCCTGACCTTAAAAATAAGGAAGGAGATTCCACCACCTCTCTAGTAACGCATTCCAGTGTTCCACCACCCTCCTAGTGAAAAAGTTTTTCCTAATATCCAACCTAAACCTCCCCCACTGCAACTTGAGACCATTACTCCTTGTTCTATCATCAGCTACCACTGAGAACAGTAAATCCATCCTCTTTGGAACCCCCTTTCAGGTAGTTGAAAGCAGCTATCCAGTCCCCCCTCATTCTTCTCTTCCGCAGAGTAAACAATCCCAGTTCCCTCAGCCTCTCCTCATAAGTCATGTGTTCCAGTCCCCTAATCATTTTTGTTGCCCTCCGCTGGGCGTTTTCCAATTTTTCCACATCCTTATTGTAGTGTGGGGCCCAAAACTGGACACAGTACTCCAGATGAGGCCTCGCCAATGTCAAATAGAGGGGAACGATCACGTCCCTCGATCTGCTGGCATTGCCCCTACATATACATCCCAAAATGCCATTGACCTTCTTGGCAACAACAGCACATTGTTGACTCATATCCAGCTTCTCGTCCACTGTAACCCGTAGGTCCTTTTCTGCAGAACTGCTGCCGAGCCATTCGGTCCCTAGTCTGTAGCGGTGCATGGAGTTCTTCCGTCCTAAGCGCAGGGCTCTGCACTTGTCCTTATTGAACCTCCTCAGATTTCTTTTGGCCCAATCCTCTAATTTGTCTAGGGCCCTCTGTAATCTATCCCTACTCTCCAGCGTATCTACCTCTCCTCCCAGTTTAGTGTCATCTGCAAACTTGCTGAGGGTGCAATCCACACCATCCTCCAGATCATTTATGAAGATATTGAACAAAATCGGCCCCAGGACCGACCCTTGGGGCACTCCACTTGATACCGGCTGCCAACTAGACATGGAGCCATTGATCACTGCCTGTTGAGACCGACAATCTAGCCAGCTTTCTGTCCACCTTATAGTCCATTCATCCAGCCCATACTTCTTTAACTTGCTGGCAAGAATACTGTGGGAGACCGTGTCAAAAGCTTTGCTAAAGTCAAGGAACACCACGTCCACTGCTTTTCCCTCATCCACAGAGCCAGTTATCTTGTCATAGAAGGCAATTAGATTAGTCAGGCATGACTTGCCCTTGGTGAATCCATGCTGACTGTTCCTGATCACTTTCCCTTCCTCTAAGTGCTTCAGAATCGGTTCCTTGAGGACCTGCTCCATGGTTTTTCCAGGGACTGAGGTGAGACTGACTGGCCTGTAGTTCCCAGGATCATCCTCCTTCCCTTTTTTAAAGATGGGCACTACATTAGCCTTTTTCCAGTCGTCCGGGACTTCGCCCGATCGCCATGAGTTTTCAAAGATAATGGCCAATGGCTCTGCAATCACATCCGCCAACTCCTTTAGCACTTTCGGATGTAGCACATCCGGCCCCATGGACTTGTGCTCGTCCAGCTTTTCTAAATAGTCCCAAACCACTTCTTTCTCCACAGAGGGCTGGTCACCTCCTCCCCATGCTGTGCTGCCCAGTGCAGTAGTCTGGGAGCTGACCTTGTTAGTGAAGACAGAGGCAAAAAGAGCATTGAGTACATTAGCTTTTTCGACATCCTCTGTCACTAGGTTGCCTCCCTCATTCAGTAAGGGGCCCACGCTTTCCTTGACTTCCTTCTTGTTGCTAACATACCTGAAGAAACCCTTCTTGTTACTCTTAACATCTCTTGCTAGCTGCAACTCCAGGTGTGATTTGGCCTTCCTGATTTCACTCCTGCATGCCCGAGCAATATTTTTATACTCTTCCCTGGTCATTTGTCCAATCTTCCACTTCTTGTAAGCTTCTTTTTTGTGTTCAAGACCAGCAAGGATTTCCCTGTTAAGCCAAGCTGGTCGCCTGCCATATTTACTATTCTTTCTACACATCGGGATGGTTTGTCCCTGTAACCTCAATAAAGATTCTTTAAAATACAGCCAGCTCTCCTGGACTGTATTGTAACTCTGTCCTCACATATTTCTCTTTTTAAGATCTCACTCTGATCCTTCCCAGTTTCTACAGCATCAGCAATAAAACAGCAATTTCCCTGCATTTTGTTCATGGCTGCAGAAATAGGCTTCAGGATATTCAGCATGTGGTCAACATTTCTCTTAAGCCCAGTGTTGAGAACTTTGGCTGTGACAGTGCCATCTGTTTTTTCACAATTTTGTTCACAAACTATCATCAGATTAGGCCAGTTCTTGATATAGTGCTCAAAACAGTCCACTACTGAGTTCCATCGCACGTCTTGTGGGAGAGTTAGCTTTGTTCCTTCCACTTTTTTTTCAGAGCAGCTGCTGCAAAGTGGCTGTTACGGAAGTATTTTACAATTTCAACTACATTAGCCTTTATTTCTGGAACACTGAAGTCTTTGGCTAGGAGGTGCATCAGATGAGCACTGCAACCGTATGTTATTAGCTTGTGACTCTCTTCTAAATAATTTCTTCTCATCTTGGATACATTTGCAGCATTGTCTGTGACCAAGCTGTGTACTAAACATTTGAATTTTTTTTTCCACAGTTTGTTATAATTTTTACTGCTGCTACTTGTAAGTTGTTAGAGAGCTTATTCCTTCACTCTCCCACTTCCCTGGTCCTTCTCGCATGAACAGAGAGCAACAATACCCGAAGTCCGAAGGTGCAAACAATTCAATGTTTATTGGGGTGAACTTCCAGCAAGCTTAAATACAAGTTCCTTTTTCCTTATTTTCGAATCCCAACTTACTTCCTGTTTGCCCCTAATTTATATAGTAATATTCTTAGCTATACCTTAACCAGTCATTCTACTGAAATTTAACTAACCAATCCTAACATATCGTAACATGATTAGCTAACTAATTATATCCCACCACAATAATTAGATTACACCCAACAAAATTAATTATACAGCAGACAGAAACAATCACAGAACCAGACAGAGATTATACAGACAAACAATAGCAAAGTGGGAACTATAATGACAAAACAATACAGAAGTGAGGATTTCACATCCCAGCTATTGATAAGTGAGTTCTTGCCAGACAGGATAATATCAAACTAAGTTTCCTTTTACATTTTCTAGGCACTTCCCATTCTCTGGAGGTGATAGGAATACAATCCTGTCGTGATAGTGCCTGACACCCCAATAGCACCTTATTTCAATGTGACTAGTTTGGAATGTGAGGATGTGACTGTTCACTTCCTAGCTTATGGCTGCCTCTGCTGCTTAGCCAA